CCGGGCCGCCCCAGGCAGCGCAGCCCGGCTGGACGTGGGACGCTCCGCGGACAAGGGGGTCCCGTTCCCCAGGAGGCACCGGAGAGGAGGGCTGTGCGAGGGAACAAGGCGCTGCTCTGGACGCCGGACATCCCCGGCTGCCCGGGGGACTGCGCTTTCCGCTGCCATGTCTTCACAGAAGCTGACCTGCACGTTTCCAGCCAAAGGGAGAAGGCGCTCCGCAGCCTCGGGAAGCGCTCCAGAACGAGCAGAGCGCTCAGATAACTGCTTTACAATCCCAGCGAGAAGTTCATTTAAACACAGGAAGTCTTGTGAGATTGGACAGATTTATATAGTCAAAAAGCCATCTCACTGGTTTAAAAATATATATTAATTCTACTCAGTTGTTCGATTTCCCAGGACTGAAAAAAGCATTTACAAACTCATTGTCACCCCCTTCACTTTTTGGTGTTAACATTTCACCCACTTCGACATGTTCTAATCATCTTTGCCATGCGCATCAGACTGCTCCTCGAGAAGTACGTTCTTCTGTAATTGCCTGTTTGCTCAAATAAAAGTCAAAATACCAGAACACAGCAGCAAGTACACATCATAAGAGACTAACAAATCAGAGATTATATGTAGTTCTTCCAAGGCAGAACAGGTTGGATACTAAAAACCAGATTTTGGGGTCTTTTCTGAACTGGATTCATATCTCTTACCACAGCACAACACTAAAGGTCCATCACAGAAGCACTTTATGTGCTGTCCTGCCAAAATCGCACTCAGTACCCCGGTTATCCAAACACCAACCATTTTTAATATCCATAAGAAAGACTGTGTTCCCATTACCTTTGAGAACCAAGATCTTAAATCTGTACTTTTAAAGCACTTCCCCATTGTATTTAGCAGTTTTTAAAGCTGCCCTGTGACATTAAGCTGTCTCCCTCCAATGGGACAGGACAGAACCGTGTGCTATTTCTCATCTGCATTAGCAGCCGTCACTATAGCTCATTTCCTGACTTAAAGGTTCACTGTGTTTCTTCTGATGCTGTCATTCCAATAGGAGGGACCCTTATACTAAAGCACTATTTTAAGTCACTTCACTAGACCAGAACAAACTATGGAAGCAGAAGGACAGCAGCAAGAAATTCCTCTCTCTCCAGAGAAACTCTGTTCATCTGGTCACCCTAAGTAAATTAGGCTATCCTTTATCACCACTGCCCCAGTAGGCAGATGAGAAGAGGGGACAATGCCTCTAGTTAGCATATCTACAGCACACCATGCATGCAGATCCTGGCCAGGAAATGTTCTGTGATAGCAAGGATTTGAAGCAGCAAGCATTAGTCTTCCATCCAGCTGATAAATATCTACCCTGTCTTCCTCCAAGCCCTCTGCTTTACCTCATCTAATTAAATGAAAGCTGATCCTCACTGGTGTTCACAGTGCGGGAGACACACTAAGGCGTTAATCAGCTCAAGCTATTAGCTACATAATGTCTCTAAGAAAATTAATGGAAGAAAAGGTATATGCTAAAGAAATCATAGTTCTCTCTTTCCCCCTATAAAAAAATGAAAGAACACTTGGCTTAAACCAGATTCCAATTTTTTCCATTCTTTTATAAAGCTTGAGCAAAACAAAAACATATAGGAATATATTCATTTTTTTGATTCGGTCCAAACTATGCACACTTCTATGATGATACCCCATATGTCCCTCTGCAACAGGGAGATCTTCTCTACTTGCATAATATTATGATGTTTACATATTTTTTATCTTTGGTTTCTGTTCAGAAGCATGGGAATCTCCCCTGCACATGGAGCTGTCAGGTGGAAAATGGTGCGTATTCTCAAATGAACATGAGCTTGGTACTGTGAAATCAGACCTTCATAGCAACAGGCTCGGCAGTGAGGGCAAGGGCAGCAGTTTCTTGTTCTGACTCTCTTAAAGCCCATGCAGTCATACTTGGTCTCTTTTTGCCAAGGCAAAGGCATACTGCCTGCTCTAAAGACAAACACCCCTCTTCTCTCCACTCCTAACTTTGCTTCCAGGGATGCGAAAAGCACAGAGAATAATGGAAAATGATAGGTCAGCAAAAAAGACTCTGCTTTCCAATAAAAAGGAACAATGCAGCTCTTATTTTCCTTGAATCCTTCATTGTTTGAAATATCTCTTGCAATGCCTGAACACAGTTTCTCTTTTTCCTCTTCACTGTCAAGCTTCCTTTCCCTCCCACAAAAGCATTCAACAGAACTTCAAGCATATCAGGAAAGGACTAGGAAAACTTGTTAGGGTCTCCCACTAGTATCTGCTGCATTTGGAGCCCTGCTTATCAGTTTGAAATTCTCTGTGAGATTTCCTACTGCAAAAATAAATCCTTTAGTGCTGTTTCTTCAAAAGCAATCCTCATAGCTCAAAATATTTTAATACATAATAACAAACCAGCATTCCAGTATAATGAGAGAAAGCAAATTTGATAAGGGAACTGTCCAATTTTATACCTAAAAGTATGAACAATAATTGAAAAAAATTGTTTTTAAGTACCAAAACTGACATGACATTGTCTTTTTGACTAAATACTCCATTAACACTCACCAGACATTTTTTTTTTTTTTAAATCAAGACATAAAACCTGTTTGAAATA